ACGGACTCTGAAATGGTCGTATAGGTGCCAAAGCAAGGACAGACAAGCCCACAAAGCGATGTGAATTCATCGTGTCTTTCAGCTGGGATGTTGAGCCTCAATACAGGGCTGAAGTCCAATCATATGCAGTCCGGACACACGTGCGTCATAAACATGTAAAGCCACTTGGGGGTGAGTGTTTGTGCTTTGCATAACATGAGGCTCTGCTGTCACATTTTCACAACGTTGTGATTACCTTAAAAAAAAAATAAGTATGCATCTTGCATGTCCAGCTTTCCCAGCCTCTTGAGCATTGGGGTAGGAGGTGCTGGAATCTGGACCCCTTCCCTGCCTGGATGTTTGCCATGATACTCGTCCCAGGTAGAGACAGGCCATCATCGCTTGAAAGGCGATTCGATTTGAAAATGATATTGGCCGGTAATAGATGGATGATCGAGGGACTGATCCGCCTTGCAATAAGCTCTCGTACCTATTATTCATCAAAGACACGGCTGGTGGTGGCCTTCATGGTTCATGAGAGCTTTTCCTTTCTTCCTCGCCTGGTGGTGCTTTCGCTTGCCTTGCTTGGTAGTGCTGTTGTGATTGTATGCCGAGCTTCCCGTTATCTCGAGATAGAGTTTCTGGTATCTGACTATAACGTTGCGACTTGTGAAAATGGTCGCAGCGGATATGCGGCTCCCAAGCGATCGTCGAAGCCTAAAAAGTCACAGTCGTACCGTACGGCAGAGCTAAGAGCTCCATGGAGCTGAGATTATATATGTGATGTGGTGGAAGGAACCGGGGATATGGATGGCTAAGAGGTGTATCGCGATCTGCATTGAAACCTTCAAGAACCTCGCTCGCCTCGCATGATCCTGCCCCTACTACCCTCGTTTGTTTGGTTTGGAATGTGGTGTCGAAAGACCTCCGGCTGGTCTGGTCTTGATGTTGCCTCGGGGCTTAAGGTTCGATGCTGGACAATACATTTTGACAGCCATCAGGAAAATCCGCGGAGAATATAGTTTCGTTCATGATAATATCCAACGTCCGGGAGCGAGCGGTGGGCGAAAGGGAGGACAGACTGTTTAACTATGGCAAGTCTTGGACTCTTGTTGGGGGTTTCCATTTGCCCATCCGACATTGTCTTCATACTGGCGGTCAGGAGGTAAGTTTAGTAGTATCTCTTCAAAACATGAAACCGTCAATGATGTTGTGACCTACCTACCTACAGATAGTAGAGCAGATTTGTATATGTTGCCCGTGTCGCGCCAACGTTACCACAGCGAGTTCAATGCTGGCTGGTTGGCTGGCTCGGCGCACATGGTGTGTGGGCCCCCTCTGTTGGGTGGGATTTGATGTGGGTTCTACAAGCTCTAGCGGAAGCTCTAGAACCCTTCAGCCCTCCAGATGACCAGGGGCCAGCAGTGCCAAGCAGCGACGGGTCCCAGTAGAATGGGCCGACTTGGGCAGCACCCAGGACATCTTGAGCACCTCTGTGACTTTTTTGCCCAGCGGCATTTTCCCATGACTCCACTATAAAATTTGGACAAAACCTGTGGCTCGGAACCAATGTCCTAACCCAGGTAGGTATTGCAAGAGTTCTTGCCGCAGGTTCATGCTCGCACATATCCGAATATGAATTGCCAGGCCAGCCAGACCAGGTAGGAGTCAGTGCCGTGGGCGGACGGATAGTCAAAAAAGTCTTTTGATTTGATCAGCATCTTTTTTGATCCCGTGAGACATGCTCCTGGACCCTATTTACCTGTTTACCTACCTGTAAGACGAACTCTTCAATGTTTTGGACACGCACGGATCAATCTAGCATTATGTCATGCCTATCGAATTCCTTTTTCGTGGATCTGGGGAGGGAGACCAGGAAATGAAGAAAGGCAGGAAAATCTATGGGGCCACATATGGAATAGTGTGTGAGCAGTTGTGATTCGCCGAGCATGTACCAATTACGTAGGGCATCGATGCAAAAGTCTTTGCTGATTTTATATGAGACGCAGTTTGCCGTCTCTGGAAGTATCATATATCCGTGACTGATGTCGCCCAAGGCAAAACAGTGGCTTTCTTACTTGATCACCTTTCCTCGGGCGATTCTCGAGTCACAATCCAAAATTCAAGAAAAATCAAAAAATCCGGTGAATCAGGTGACAACGGGGGCATGGTGCCGATCAGGACAATCTCAAGCAGGAGACACAGAGAGACCTGAACCCCCTTTGGATCCATTCCCCAGGTCGTTGTGCCGTCCCCGCAGCGCCTCGTTCTGGCCGATCCCCACCGACTAGGTTAGGAATAACTGCGAACCTTTGCCCTCATTTGCTCTGGATCACTGGCTAGGCGTTGTCTCGGTCTGTTGATGCAGAGTTTGAATGGTCGAGAATGAGGCGGCCAAACGCTGGTTTGCTGGCTCAGTACGTAGTACGTAGAGATTGTAGTGTACGTAGTCCGATTGATCCTCAATTCCGCAATCCTGCATGCATCAAGCATGTCAAGTCGAACATTGCCTCTTTGCCAGGGAAAGTCTCTTCTCTGCCTTGTAGTATACGTAAGAGAGCGAGAGGAGGGAAAGCGGGTTTAAGATGGTGGTGATGAAGCTAGTGGCGCATACCCAGATAGTACAAGCGGGCATGGGGAGGAGGGGGGTTGAATACATGGTATTCTTTTTTGTTCGCTCTCCTTTTGGCTGGGGTTCGCTTCTCTCGAGTTTGTGCGTTTGCCTCGTCTGTGTTGATCTCATATCCAAGCACAACCATGTATGAGTGATTGTTTACCTTATTAGCTCCCATGTTGCTCGTCCACGCATGCCACGCATTTCGTAGTGTGAGCCGAAACGTTTCTCAAATGTCCGTGTTCGTCGCCGGCCACGCCATCGCCCGTCGTCCATGCGGTTGGTCATCTGCGCGGGAAAAAGTACGTACGGCCAGGGAGCTGGGGGCAAATAGCGGCTTGCAATGGCAAAGCATGGCTCTTCATGTCGACGAAGAAGCGGGGATCTTTCTTAATTTAGTTTTTTCCATCTTCCATTTCTTGTTCGTCTTCTGCGTGCGCAACTTCGGATGGATAGCAAGGGTGAAAGCAAAATGGCCAATTCCAATAAGCGCATTTGATACTGGCCTAGGTAATGTACCTATCTAGATTCCACGGCCGTTCTAATAATCTGGTGGCTTGACTCCCTACTGCCTATGCCAGCCAAGGTTACTACCTATCTTGAAATGTGGTATTCCGATCACGAGTCAAAGCCCCCATTGCTACCAGTAATTTTGATTGATTATTGGATTTGACAATGAAATATGAAAGGAGGGACACGATGACTGTCGGTTTAGACGTCTACCTGAGAGGCACCATGGTTACAATGCTGCCATGGGAATAACAGGCTATAGGTGATATCATAGAAAAATGACTGGATGCCCGACAGGATGCATGTTGAAACTGAAATTCGATCTCGAGGTTCTTCTTATTAGTTAGTTGGTTGTTTGTCATGACTACTAAATTACGCGGCAGCTAGGCAAATACACTACCTAAACTAATGTAATCTCTGTAGATCTGCACAAGATACCAGACCATCAAATGGCAATCTTCAATTGGCGGATGCACACCCCCCCGCGTGTAGCTGTCTCTCGTCTCGTGTATCGTCCCTTCACCGTACCTCTCCGGCTTCCTTGCCAATTCTCACCCATCCCACGTCCTCCTGTGCCCGAGTGCCTCGATGATCCCTGCTGGTGGTGGCATTTCTCAAATCCCCCTCCACGTCCTGGCACCTGGTACATCGGATAGCCCATGGGAGAAAAAAAAAGGCGTGGGTGTTGTCAGTGTACCCTTGCAAATTTGCGAAGCTGCTTTCCGATCTCCCGGTATTCCATCTCCCGCGCTTTGGGGGGGGGGGCAGCGCGGTCTTCTCTACGTCCTTTTTTTTTTTTTTTTCTTCTACTTGTCGCTGGCCCTTTTTTTTTTTTTTTTTCCACCCTCACATTTTCTTCCCTCTCCTCTCCGCCCACTGACTTGTACATGCCGGCCGGACCAAATATGCATGCTACATTTCGTACCTCTCGGAAATCGGCCTAGGGAGAGAAACAAGAACACAAACCGCATTTTCTTCTTGTTAGCAGTGGTGGTTTGAGCTGCTTATTAGCTACATAGCTACCTTTACGCGACGTACTCTACCGGCACACAGTACATTCTCCCACGTTTACACACTACATTTCAGAGTCCAGACGTACATACGTCGAGTAGCTCCCTGCATGCGCCGCCCAGTGCCAGTTCAAAGCACCGCGCATCCACCCCGACACACCCTGAACCAGCCCTTCCTTCCACCCACACCCTGTGTGTTCCAAGGTACCTACTTCCCACCTTTTTTGGTTTACTGCCTGCCTGTCGACCTGCCTACCTTACCTACATTACCTACCTACTACTTGTTTGCCCCATTGCCCGTTGAAACTGTCTGTCTTGTCTGTCCGCCCGTCCGTCTTGGGAAAGAAAACCACCACCACATATCAGACAGACAAGTCCCTGCCCCGGCCACCCCCCCATCCGGACCTTTATCGTCGCCTGCTTTTACAAACTCGACGACATCCTGTGTCGATCGAACCCCCAAAGGCGTCATTACTCGACATTCTATCCGAGGTTTTCTGGTCTCACGCATCTGGAGCAGTCATCATTCACTACTCTTCTTACTACATCACACACACGCATACAAACACAACCCTGACCGTCTTCTTGTACCTGTCGCTGCTTCCTACCGTCTCGGCTAACTTGCTCCTTGTCACCGATCCGAGGCAAGAAACACCACCACATACTGACACGGCGTAGATCTCTCAACTCGCACGTCTTTTTTTCTCTCTCTTCAGGCACTTCGGCAACATCTTGCAAGCGGGGGAAACTGGTTGATCTGCTATCCATGAAGACCTTTTTTCATCGCCTATAATCGAGAGGCTTTGAATTATATCATTGTTGGCGGGGACGACTACGGCCAACTGGTGACTCTTACACGCAAATATCTTGTTCGCCATCTGCCTGACATGGCCGTCGTTCTCTCCTCCGAGGACAGCGGCTTCTTTTCCCAGTCACCACTGAAGCGATCGCATTCACAGCCAAACTTTGGCAAGCAGTCATCGGGCCTGCATACCTCTGCCTCATCCACAAGGATCAATACTGCCTATCAAGGCAGATATCACTCCTACCATATCTCTCCGCCCAGCTCGGAACCATCGTCCGTTGCCTCGTCACCCCAGACGATACATGCTGACTCTGTGACTCCATCCGACCTGTCCACTCCAGCAACTATTCTGTCTCTTGACAGCCACTGGGATAACGACGAACATCTTGAACATACCCCCGACATCATTCTGCCAGAATACGACGAGAATCCCTTCTTCGCTCCTGTCGAGGATCTGGAGCCGCCCGCCAGCCCTCACACTGGCGACTCTTACTCTGTCTCGCCTGCTGAGAACGATGATACGCCTACTACTCTTTCTCGCCCCGAATCCCCTGTACCACTTGAGCATGCAGAAGATGACACGGCCCTGAGGCATCACCCTACTCACCATGTAGACTACTTGTCACACGACTGGAAAGAGGAGGACATCTGGTCATCATGGCGCTACATCATCTCGAGGAGGAACGATTTTACCAATGCCTCTCGATTAGAAAATGCCTCTTGGAGAACTTGGATGAAGTCAAAGTACAGGTTAAAAACAGTTTCTCCCGAAACTTTAAATTGGTATGATTATGTCTATTTATTAGCTTTGCATTGCTCGCGCTTCGTCCCTATGCTAACATGGATACAGGCTCAAGGACTGTGACGTAACTTGGTTGTACGGCCCCTTGCAGACAAGACAAAAGAAACTGTTCGCGGCCGACACACGACAGAACAGCTCGTCAATATCCAGAAATGACTCTTTTGTTCAAAAGAAGCCCATCTTGAAGAAGAGGAGCGTGTCAGAGGTTATGCTACAAAAGTCTATTTCGTCGTCTTCACTTTTAAAACAAGCCACAGCTGCCGTTCAGGCACAACAGCAAGACCTTGGACACGGAGTCCATGGAGTTCGGATATCTCGGCCGATTTTGCAGCGGGCTACAACAGATTACATTACGTTTCCATTCTCTTCTCGAAGAGCCAGTCACGGTGATAACAGCCTTGCCCCCTCCAACGACACATCCGGCCTCGTGTCACCGTCAACGGAGCGAAAGCATATTCACTTCTCAGAGTCGGTTCAACAATGTATTGCGGTAGATGTTAAAGGAGAAGAGGAGGACGAAGACGAGCCAGAAATCGAGTACTGGAACAACGATTATGACAGCGACTCATCTGACGATGGTGTTTTCATGATGAAGACCAGCACCAAGAAGAAGCCGACGAGACCCCGACCCAAGCCAAGGGTCAGTAGCACCAGCGAGAGCAAGACTATAGCAATGTTGCCGTCGACTACACTTAAGTATCGCGAGGACACACCAGAGCCACAAGAGACTGCCATGAAGCATAGCACTATCCGCAGCCCTCCGTTCATCTCACCCTCATCCTCCCAGGAGACTCTTCGCCCAGCAAAGCAATCTGGCCGTTTTTTCATCGAGGACGACGAAGTATCTGCGATTGAGGAGAGAACTACTACACCAGTGTCCAGCCCGAGCGATCAAGTCCCGCAATCGGGTCTGCAGCGGTCATCTTCGTATGGAAACCTGGCAAATGGACCAGCGGGTATGCGTCGGACTGAATCTGGCATGCTCATGCCGTATGAAGAAGGGGACGGACAAGAAAATGCAGGCATTATTGGCCGTGTTGTTGACACAGTCAACACCGCTCGTGACATTGCTCACGTCATATGGAACGTCGGCTGGCGTCGATAAATCTTGACGGATAAGCACCTGTTGGACAGTTGAAATATTTCTATACCTCAATCTTTGAGGATGTACCGATACAACGACATGCCAAGTCTTTATCAATGTCGCCATTACGAGAAAATATTGGCACAAGCTCAAGACACAAACGGACAATATTGATTGGCTGGGGACTTTCATCGCAACATTCTCACAACATTTTACTTATATTTGCATTGCAATGGCGTACGGAGCGATTTGATTTTTATTTTACATGCTGAACCCTCCCAAATGTCAACTCAGTTTGCATTGAGGATCCTGGAAGGCGTGGTAACCAATGGAAAGCATTACTGGGGGGTTAGGAGCATGGACTAGAGGAGGGTAAACGGACTTGGAATATACAGAAGCCATTCATTTTCTTTTTCGAGGAATGGTTCATAATGGGGTGTTGCCTATAAACAGGCATACTTGGATCGGTCAGCAAGCGGCATGTTTCACATGGCATCTGGAAGGAAAATCAAAGAGAAGATAAAAGCAATTTTGAAACAAGATACATCCCATGAACGTTACCTCAAGTATGATGGAGTGAATGAGTGTTGAATCAATGTCCAAGCGCTTTGCAATATAGACAGCAACACCAACTTTTTTTTTTTCAGCTTGTGTAGACCCGTGTAATCTTGCCAAAGCTGGCCAGCATTAATCAAGACGAGAGTCGTTGGAGAAACCACATTTAGGATCTGCGGGTCTCATATAAAAAGTATTCATATACAAAGTACTCAATAATTGACCACGGGAGGCATGGAAGACAACCTTTGTACCTTCTGTCTTGATGAAAATGTGCAAATTTCGAAGAACTTTATACGTCCTGTTACAGTGTCCATTACTAGAGTCCATTTTACTAAACTTGACGACGACTACGAGGTACATTCTCGGGCCATAAGAACAGGCTCTGGCAGGCCGTGGCCATGCATTTCCAATTGTCAGACCACTTGCTGGGCAATATGACACTGTCACATACTTCCGTACACATCCCCAATCTGAATGGAAAGAAACGACAAGTAGTGATATCCCCATCACTCGTGCAACGAGAAACGATCGGCACTGTCAGTTATTGAGAGGATAATCATAAAAACAAACAGGACAAAAAGAAACGGAGAATACTTTGTACAGGGGATTTATATCTCTAGTCAGGAGAGGATATTTGACCGCCCACGTTAGGTATGAAATCATAGACTTTACCAATGATGTCGATCCTGTAAGATCCCTTCCATAGCCAACGCCTCCTTCAAGAATCACGCAAACATTATCAACACGTGATTGTTGGTCACGGATAAAAGCATAGAGATTGTATGGGTATCGATCGAAATTTGATTACTACTGACTACGGTCTATAGGAAACCGGGGGGGTTGTGGAAACTTTTGCATCGTACACTAAGGTGTGTATAATACTCACCGAGAGATCAGTTTTTATGATTGGGTTCGCTGTACAAGAAAATTTGATCGCCCTGTCGTCGCAAAAAATGAAAACCGCAGAAACTTTTTATAGAGCCCTCAAAACGCCGTCGTGAAAGAAATAAACCCTCGTGGTGGATCCAGTGCAACTGCATCCAAGGTAGCGCAAGCTTGCCAAATACTTCATAGCCAGAAAGTAACCCCATTGGCAAATGGGAAAGCCGTCAGAACCATGTGTGTACGTGAAGGATGTGAATGCTTGGAAGGAGAACCCAACCAGCATTCAATACTTGTAAAGCCATCAAAGCCCACAGAACGAACCCACTGAGAGGTGTATGAAACCTCAGATCAAGCCCACAGGTGTATCATCGCTTCGTGACGAAGCTTAGCCCTCGATGACTTTGAACCCTCAAGCAGAAAAGTCCAAAGTTTGAAGAAGCCGACAACCCTCAGAAGCCAACCAGGTGTGTATGTGTCAATGAGCCCTCAGGTACCATCAAGTGCGGCTGTTGCTTTAGTCAAAGCTGATCTTCTTGCCTTGGAAACCACCACCACCACGTCCACCGAAGCCTCCACCACGGGAAGCACCACCACGACCACCGCCGCGGCCACCGCCACGACCACCGAAGCCACCGCCGCCTCCACGGCCACCGAAACCACCACCGCCGCCGCGGCCGCCAAAGCCACCGCGACCGCCTCCACGACCACCGCCGCGGCCACCGCCCTGTTGAGGCTGGCGCTGGGCAGCAAAGTCGAGACGAACAGCACGAGCACCACGGCCCTCACCGATGTAGCCACCGTTCTTGGACTCGAAGGCAGACTTGGCCTCCTCGACGCTGTTGAAGGTCACGTAACCGAAACCCTTGCGGTTGCCCGACTCACTAGTGTTATGTTAGCTCTGGTTTCAATGTCACCATCTATAAGCAGAATACGTACGGGTCGGTGGGGAGACGAAGGCTCTTGACTTCAGCAATGTCGGCGAAGAAGAGCGTGACGGCATCCTCATCGGCCTCCCAGGGCAGGTTACCGACGAAGAGAGTGTCACTCTCAGGGGAGACGGTGTCACCGTGGGCAGCGGCGCGGTTGGCAGCGCGGTCAGTGTTGTTGAAGCTGTCGGCAGGCTTGGGCTTGGAGGGGTCAAGGCGGAGACCGCGGCCCTCAAGCTCGAAACCCTGCATACCCTCGAGGGCAGCCTGGCATTGCTCGGGGGTGTCGAAGTCGACGTAACCAAACCCACGGGATCGCTGCATGTCCTTGTCGGTGACAACACGAGCGCTGTTCAGACCGGCGTACTCCTTGAAGGTGTCGTAAAGAATGTCGTCAGTGACACCCCAGCCGAGGTTGCCAACAAACAGGGTGACGGCGGCGTCCTCGCCAGCATCGGCCTTGGTCTTCTTGGCAGGAGCCTCCTCCTCGTCCTCAGCCTTGCGCTTCTTGGTGGGCTCGGGCTTCTTCTCTTCCTCATCGTCAGAGTCAGAGTCGGATGAGTCAGAAGAGTCGGAGTCGGAGTCGGACTGAATAATAGTTAGTTAATGCGATGAGGGTGAAGAAGAAAACAACTGCATGACATACCTCAGCCTTGGCCTCCTTCTTCTTGGCATCAACGTCAGCGCCACCCTCATTCTCGGAGCTGTCGCTGTCGCTCTCCTCCTCATCGTCAGAGGAGTCAGAAGAGTCCGAGGACTCCTCAGTCTTCTTGGCCTTGCCGTTGGTCTTGGCCTTGGCGGGGGCGGGGGCAGCCTTCTTCTTCTTCTTGTCGGCCTCGGACTCGGACTCTGAGTCGGAAGAGTCGCTAGAGTCAGAGGACTCGTCCTTATCGGAGCCCATCTCCTCGTCGCTGTCGCTGTCGGAGCTCTCAGAGGACTCAGACTCGGAAGACTCAGACTCGGACTCGACCTTCTTCTTGCTCTTCTTGGACTCCTTGGCGCCCTTTACAGCCTTGGTCGCGGCATCCTTGGTGAGCTTCTTGGACTTGGAGACACCAGCGTCCTTGACGGAAGTGATGGGATCAGCCTTGGCAGACTTGCCGCTGGAGGACTTGACCTTGCCCATTGTGAATGATTATTGTCTGATTGAGGAAAATGAATGAGACAAAAAAATGAATGGTATGGGAAAGGGAAAGGTGTGGTAGTGTGCAGAATCTGTCTGTCGCGACAGATCGTGCAGGTTCTGCTATTTATGAACCAGATTCGGCAGAAAAAAAAAAGGCGGGTAGGCTGCTGGTTTCCTGGGCTGTTTCGCTTGTCTGGGCGCAAAAAAAAAATTTCTGTATCTGCTCTATCGGCGGCAAAGTGGGGGCAAGGGTCTCGGGCGGTGAAAAGCTGGCGGAATTGCTGATAAGCGATAAGAGAGGTAGGTAGGTGCATCGCATGGATGGATCCAAAGAATGGAGGACCCACCTATTCCAGCCAGTGGAGAGTGCCTTACAATTGAGGCTGCTAGAATTGGCTGGTTCGACGTTGCGAGCTCACAGCTCTCCAAGTCGTAGCTTGTCGAGGTATCTCAGTATCCGCCAGCTCAGTACACGACCAGCCATCAGCTCACCACCAAAACCGGCCAATTGATCCCCTGCTCCCCCCCGGACGCAAGAGCTCATCGATCGCAAATATGCCTACTCCCGAGTCCGAGGCTTTCCTGGCCAAGAAGCCCAAGGTCCCGCCCACCTTTGACGGCGTTGACTACGACGACAACAAGGCATTCAAGGCCGCCCAGGACTCCATTATCCGCGAGCAATGGGTGCAGGTCATGATGGGACGTCTAGTCAGAGAGGAGCTCAGCAAATGCTACTACCGGGAAGGAGTCAATCACCTGGAGAAGTGCGGCAAGTTAAGAGGTCAGTCATGACGTATTTGGAGCCTCGGAGTAGCAGTGCACGATGCATTGTGGCCCGGTTTTGGCTCCAATCCCTCCAAATATTGAATGCAAGTATGCTGAATATGTACCAGAGAGATACCTGTCGATGTTGGAGAAGAACCGCGTGCGCGGAACTCTGTTTGAGCAACAAAACTACATAGATCCATCGCAGCTGGCCACGCCGGCAAAGAAATAATGGATTCATCCGGATAGGCGCTGGGGCGAATCAGACATGGTATTCTAAGAGGGGAGCCTGATGATTTCATCTATGCATCAGAGATTATTTCCCATGAATGTGCTGGTTCCAAGAGTATCAAGATGGGCGATGGGTCGTTGGCCGTACAACTAACAATGCGTTGTAGCCACAAGACCCTGTACATATATCAAATGAAAAATTGCCAATTTGCCAACTACCAAAAAATTCAGCAAATCAGTCCTGTATCTGGGGTCAACTTGCGTGTGTATTCGTTGCTACTGTCGTTGTCGTCGTTGCGCTTGTTAACATACAGGCACGCAGGCACGAGGTTGGCCCAAATAGCGCCAGGGGTCCATCCGGCCCGCCGTACAAAATTTCCAATTGGCTAGCTTCAACACCATGGTGCCTTGCACTTTGTAGCTCTGGGACAGTACCTTTCAAGACCTCACCACACTCAAACCACACATACACACGATATGATTTGCAGGCGGTGCTTAACAAGCGCTTCGTCGCTCACACGGACAATATCGCGGCGGGCAGCGCCCGTCATTGTCCGATCCTTTGCATCGACGCCCGTACCGAGGAACGCAGCGCCCGTGGCTGCTGCACCCGCCGCATCATCATCATCATCAGATGCGTCGTCGAACCCAACCTTTGGCACACCGCTCGGCGATGCACCTCCCGCCGCAGAAGACAAGCCCGCGCTGTCGGCGTGCGCCGAGGGCACCGTGCTGACGGGCCTCAACTACCTCAAGAACAAGACGGACCCCGTGGCCCTGGCCGATGATGCGTACCCGGCGTGGCTGTGGAGCTGTCTCGACGTCACGGTCAAGAAGAGTGATGATGCCGGAGCTGCTGATGCCGAGGCCGAATTCTGTACGTTTTTCTTTCTTTCTTCTTTTCTATAAGCTACTCGAATGAAGAACCTCTATAACTAATCACTCTTTTTTTTTTGCCCTTAGCGAAATCCAAGAAGCAGCGTAGAATCGCCGCCAAGCGCCAGCGCTCTCTCGAAGCCAAGCTCCTGGCCGACGGCAACCTCGAGGCCCTGGCCCCCAAGATCCCGCTGCAGCAGCAATCGATAAACATGCCGGCCAACGAGGAGGGTACGGCCGAGGGCGCCCTGGCGGCGGTGGCGGCGCGCGAGGACCTCCGGAAGGCCATGCGCAAGGAGAGAAGGTCCAAGATCAAGGAGAGCAACTACCTGAAGAGCATGTAAGGTGTGAGGATGAGGAGGAGGAGGAGGAGGATGAGGAGGACGACAACGACAACCCTCGGCGAGATTCGATGCAAAGATCACAGCGCGGTTACGGTACATCTTCTGGACAAAATATTCCAGAGACCTGGGCAGATGGCAAGGGAACACTACGGTTCAAGCCTTGCCGTTGTGATTGCTGCTCACTTCTCTTTCAGCAAACCTACGAAAGGACCGAAGAGAATAGCAACTGCGTGTACTATACAATGACAACTGTAAACTATATATGTGCACATACGACAAAAAAGAATAGACAATTATGGCGCAACTTTGTATCTTTGCAAAGTGAGAGCCTCTTTGCTAGACTGTGCGCATTTTCATTTGGCTCTACCAAAACCAGGCTGGGTATCATTTCGTAAGGCATTCCTGGTGGGCCGTCTCTTGTGCATGTACAGTTTTGTGACTTTGCCTTTTCCCCCTGCCATGATATTCAAATTGCCAAACGCCAGACGCCTCCATCTACTCCCATATTGAAAAATATTTAGAAAAAAAAAATAATGATAACCTGCTAGTATGCAATATTTTATCCGCTGCCTGGGAATGTTGCTGGCCAACTGTATCTTGTTGTAATCAGGATCTTTTGTCAAGGCATGATCTATTCGTCGTCCGTGATATTGAGCTGTGCCTTGCGCAATGAGATCTCCTTCTTGAGATTGTCAATGTTGGTGAGAATACGGCGGCGCATGAGTGGGTTGGCTTGTGTATCCAGTTGACTTTCAAGGTCTGACACCTTCTTCTGTAGCCCAACCATCTCGTTCTTCATGTCTCTGAACTCGGCTTGTTTGGCTGCTTCTTCCTCATCAAGCTCGTCGTCATCGTCATCGTCATCGTCCTCATCGGATACCTCTTCTTCGTCCTCGCCATCGGCATCACTGGCCTCGGCAGCTCCAGCGGCAGGGGTGGTAGCTTCAAGAGTCATTGGCGTTTGTGCTTCAAGCTGCGTAGCAGGAGTAGCTCCTTCGGCATCTCCCATATCCATGTCGAATTCTCCAGCCAGCTCAGCCTCCAGCTCGGCCTCGAGATCGGCGTGGTCCACCTCATCGTCTTCTTGGGTGGGCTCGTCTGCGAAATCAGTGCCTCCAAAGTAGTCATCCACTTCTTCGCCCTCGGCATCTTCATCACCTGACTCATCAAAGTCCTCATCTTCGTCCATTAGGAACTCGTATTTGGGTTGTTCAACGCATTCAGCATCCTCGGCCAGCAGTTTCTTAACCTGGGCAGCCGTACTGATCAGTTGTTTTTCTGTTGGTTGCTTTCTAAACCTTCGATTGACAGCGTCGTGCATGGGGGGAGTCAAGCCATGCGGCCACTTATGATCCATCTGCTGGACCATCTGAGGCAATGGTATCGTCTTTGCCTCTTGCTCGCTGTTTACCTTTTCATAACACAGCAGCATTTGAGTAATATCCATATTTTTCATGAAATTCTTCTTGTCCCACGTCTTCATGGCTTCGACAATGGTGGGCAGATCCACGAGTACTGCAGCAAAATGGTGACCATCAATCGTGACCATGGCTCGCCGGTCTTTAGCGTCGAGCCAGTCAACAGAAAGGTCAGCGCCCCCCGACTTTTTGTCAATACCGATCTTGCCTTCTTCAATGGCCTTGTTGAGATAATCTGTCGAGGGCCCAGGTAAGGTCCGGAGTATAACAGCGCCTTCTCTGACTGGATCTTCCTCCCGGTCGCTTGCTTCCGAGTCCCATGCCTCGCCAGGCTTGTGCTCGACAGCTTTCCCTTTGGGTTTGAGCAGGAGTCGACCCGTTGGTGTTTGGACAGCATATGCCTTTTTCGATGAGTTTGTTGTTGCCGTGGGAGTTCTGATCTGAATTTTGGAAATGCGACGACCCGCCATGGGCGCATTATCTTCCTCATCATCATCGCTATCATAGTTGCGTTTATGGGCAGCAATGATCTTTTCCGTTGGTTTGGACGATCTGCCAGTCTTGGTGATTTTGACGGGAGGGGCGGCGGTCGCCGGCGTGCTGGGCTGGCTCGAATTGACTCTAATGCGAATAGTCTTCTTCTCACCGGAAGGTGTGGGTAGGTCGCCGCTGAATGATGATTGCCGTGAGCTGCTGAGCTTTAGTATGGGCCTGGGCGTCTCGGCGGAAGGTGTTGCAGCGATGGGAGGTGGCGGCATGTCTGGGCGATTGATCTGGCTGGTTTCCAGCTTCAAGGTCGGTTTGGAACCATCGCCCGCCATTTTGATGGCCTCCAGAGAAGAGGCTGCAAGGTAGCCAAGGAGGACGAGACAGCGAGAAGAGAGATGGAGAGAAATACGACAGCAGAGGCTGGCTCAATGTCGCACAAAGAAGGCGTTGGTTGTTGCTTTCGCGATGGGCGTGATCGCAAAACTAAATGCGAATGACGTTGGGATAAATCTGGACCTGCCAAGTACGGGGTTGAGTCAAGAACCTCTAAACATGTGGCAGGGATTCTCTCTAAGTGCAGTTTTCCTAGCGACGCGAAAACACGCGACCTGAGCACAATCGCGGGGTAGCTTCAACTGTTAGGTATTTGGAGGGTTTGTAATAAGGTGCCTCCAGGTACGAGCTACTACGTGCAGGTGATTCTCAGAGGCTAGGCCTGGGGCTCGGGTTTTGTTTGGCGGCCAACGGCAGGAAAGGTGGGCAAGACATCCGAGTGGTTGCTGCTGGAAGATAAAGGTAAAGGCTGAAGGGTCCCTGAAAGACAGCTGAAGTTTACAACTTTGGTCTAAAAGTCCAGGGCCGTGCAGCCGCTAACCACGGTGACTATTCCGCTGTGAATCGCATCAACAATCAGAGAAACCAAAGTATCTCGGTCTGCTTCTGTCCACACCCACGATCTTTTCAATCATCTACCCCCGACAAATGCAGTAATGATTAATGTCTTTAGTCTTTGGACCTCTTGATTGTTCCTTCCTTGACGATCCCGGCGCACTAGTTGCCGCTTTTGACCAGTGACTTGCCAAAAAGCACAATTTAGTTGAACTGAGAACACAACCTGAACACCACCCGCTAGGCTTCGAAATCGCAGCAACTTTGATCGCAAAACCCGTTTGCAATCTGCGCATAAAGCTTCTCTCGTCTACTGGCCAGAATAAAGGGCGAGGGTGCCGTCCATGGTCAAGATATTCTGAGATCAGCCACCGTGCGATAGCCCTTCCATCTCGAGCAGACGAACAAGCCCGAAAAGCGATCTCTTCCTTTGCCCGGGAGAAAGATACCGCAAATATAAACATCATGGAGCCTTACGCTTCGAACTCGATGACACAGAAAAGGTTCTATCTGGCGCTACTGAAGCCTGCCATACTCCAGGCCCTGCGCGCACAAGGCTACTACTCATGCCGGCCTACGGTCCTCGACTTCTTCACCGAGGTCGTGGCCGACTACATTTACAACACGGCCGTGGCCACGCGAAAAGCCATGGAGCACAACCACCCCGAAGACCCCCAGGTCACCCTGCCCGACCTCCGCCAGGGCCTCGAGTACGTGGGCGCATTTGCGTGCGACGAGAACAAGCGCGAGGACCGTGACTTTGACGGCGACCCCGAGCTGCGCGGCATTGAAAAGTTCAAGGAGTGGTTTGATGGAAAACAGAATCAGAGAATCACCAGAATCGCCGAGGCCTTTACTCAGAATGGCCTCCTTCTCGAGGCCGCTCCTCCCGAGGAGGGCAAGAAGGTCGAGCGACCTCCCATCGACTACCTGAGTCGTAAGTTTTGCGTTCTTCTCCCGGTCATGACATTCAACGTGTTGCTAACCTATATGAGCAGAACTGAAGCAGAAGCACAGCAAGAACGATGACTCTAGGTATGCTAGCACCATTCTGGGAAAGCCCAGCGACCACGGTGAGGTCTTAGTCGAAGGCGGTCCCGTCTCGAGTATCGACGAGTGGCGGGACATGATGTTTCAGCGCAATCAGCGACCGCGGGAGCCCACGCCAGACTCCCGGCCACCCAGTTCCGGGCTCAGTTCGCTCGATGAGGGAGATGTCGAGATGCTGGACCTTTAGGACTCTGACACCATCGTCGAAGAAGATCCCCACGATTCTTGAGTTCATCAGCACACTGGTACTCAAGTGGCGTCTGAATAGGGCAAAATATGCGTATTTCTCTTGTAGCGGTGCATGGCAAGATTTGGAATCATGGCGAAGGCGTTTCTGGTACTGTTTTTGGAAAGTTGATTTTATCTTTGGAAGGAAAAAAGGGAGAAGGAAAGAGAAACGTTTGCACCAGTATCAGTCTAGACGGCGTGCGTTTCTTCAGAGAGAAACAAACGGAGAAAGCGGGTAGGGCGGCGCGCGGCCTCAGGCAAGATACCCCCTTTGCACATGAGCCTGAGGGGTCGGTTTCATTCTCATTACCCTGCTACTATATGTAGCCAATTGTATGTGTTTATCACATCTGCCAATGCCAGAGCAAGAAGTAAAAAAGTATATGGCGGTCTTGGATTCATGACCAGGAAATAAGATATCTACCCCAGGATGAAAGTCCCCATCCCATCGTTCTTCATATGCTCTCTAATATCAAATTTTGGTATCATAAGACCTCATGTGCAACGCTAGAACCTCGCTGACTCTGTAGTAGAAAAGAAAAACAGACAGATAACCTCCTTTCCGCATATGCTCTCCTCCATAGTGACTAAAAAGCATGCTGGTAGTGGATAAAATGAAGTCCAAACATGCCAGCGCCCAAGCTCTGAGCCAATAATCAGTTTAATTTCCATACTTTTTTGTCGCCCGAGAAACTCATATCCAACATGTTCAGGCCAAAAATGAAAAATCTCTCCAAACCCCTACATTACAGCACACTTTTTCTCCTTGCCCGGTCCGTCCCTCGGCGCTTTGGACGCCCACGTTACGTCAGTCCAGGCGAGACTCATGGCATCGCTCTCTTTCTTTTGTTTTCGACGACCAGTCCACCCCCGGCTTTTGGCATCCTTGATATTTTTGGCGGCACTTCTGCGAGCACGACTTGGCCGTCTGTTAAGACTGGAGTGGTGCCGCAGCGAGGACGTGGTAAGCGCAGCTGAGGGTGGTGCCGGAGGAATTGGGATCGCCTGTCCTTGCCCATTGTGCAGAGGCAATGTGAGCATATTATGGTTCACATTTCGACTATCGACACTTCTGATACTGTAGATTGTCTCCAGTCGCTCCACAGTTGGTCGACTGTTGCTGGCGCCAGCTTGTGGACCAGGATGACGAGGCACGGGAGCGAATATCACCGGATCCCCATTATCGAATTGTTGTGAGTGGTCATGATTAGGAGCGTCAAAGGCACCCGAGACGCCCTTGGGAGTGCTAATGATCAATGGCTGCTCTGGCTCAGGAGCTCCAGAGAAGTGACCGCTCCCTCCCGATGATGAACGGCCGCGGTCATGTAAAACGCGACCGACTGGAACGCGAGGCACTTGAAAACTGCCCGAGGCCGGCCGTGGTGGTCTAGAATCCCGGCGACTATTCAATCTGGTCAGCTGATCAGACGTTGGAGCCGGTGGCAAAGATGCCGCTATGATTTCGGCATTGTTGGTATCGATTGCTGGCGCCGAATGAGGGTACCCGCCAATATGTGCCCCTCCTGACGACCCCATTTGCCGAACTCGAGGCCACGTGAACGCATTCGCTAGACGCCCGATCTGAGGACTTTCGGCTGTCTTGTTGCTCCCAGTGTCATCGGCACCTTGTGGAGGTATTCTCACATTCAAGGGCTGGCCGTTGGCCATTACGCCCGAAGATGTAGTGGTAGCGGCAGATTGCGCCTCAGATGAAGATGCGCTCCTTCCTGTGCTTGCTGAATAGTTACCAGATGGTGACGTATGTGTACCACCATACTCATATCTGGGAGTGTCTGTATTAATCTTGTGTAGCTGTGGAACTTGCGCTGACTGTGATGGTCGCTCTACTGGTGAAACATCGTACAGATCATCTTCTTGGTCAGTGTGCCGTGACAGCTGGGAATGCCCTGGATGGGCGGTATTCGGCACTCGTTCTGATGACATGTGTGAGTAGCCTTGACTAGCGTCCACCGAAGCACTTCCTGGTCTCGGTCGTGAGTGACCTTGTTGCCATGAATGCCTTTTCGAAGCTGGGGAGGTTTGTAACCTCGCCAGTTCTGGCCGTCCGTGTGAATTGTTAGACCCTTGGGATACTTGTCCTGATCCTGAAGAATGTATTGAACGTGGCACTTGTTGCAGTGCTTGAGGGCTGATGTTTGGCAACACAGGCGCGGTGTAGGTCGTTGAGTTCGAAGTGCCCTGGGGAACCGGGCTCAGACCTACTCCTGGAATTGCGGCATGTCGTAGGAAAGAGGGTACATCGCCAGGATCCTCCTTGGCATACGGTGGAGGAGGCGGAACCCAATTATCAGCGTCGCTCTCATGGGGATGCTCTGCCCTACCATCTGCGCGTCTGTATTCCACATGGCCGCCATTTGCGGCCGAGGGATGGAGCCGCCGGTTCACAGCGGCCGCGGTCGCGGCACGTCGCAGAGTTGGCGCTGTGCGTGGGCTTGCATGTGCATAAGGTGCATCGAGGGCCTCCTGAACATCTTCTAGGGTCGGGTCTTCTGGATCCTCATGGATCGAGGCTCTCCGAGCCTCTGTACGAGGCCCTGTCATACGCCTAGGGAGCAGAGGGTCGTCATCATTTGTAGGAATTGGTGGAACAGGCGGCCTCAGCAAATCATCTGCTTGACGATCGGCAAGAGTTGATGATCGCATGAGACCGGAGCGGACGCCCCCCCTTTGGGCTACAGTCCGTCTTCTTACGATGGCGACTTCCGTAGCCATGTCTCGAAGTTCCTCTTCCAGGACCTCGGGCTCTTTTGTTCCCACCTCAATGGTGACTTCCGTATCCTTGCCGTCGGTGAAACCGAGATCAAAGTCCACAAGTGTCAACCTGCCACCATCAACAAAGTCCATGCCGTCCTCCTCAGTGATGAGTTTCGCTGGCATGACACCTTGAGCAGCGATGACCAGTCGCTCCTGGAATGAAAAATCGCCATATCCAGCAACCCATTTGACCGTGGTCACACGATGTAGCTGCGCAATTTTACGCCCACCAACAAATGTGTTGCGATTTCTGTCACACAATAATTGCCATTGAAGGACTCTGCCTCCTACCGGTTCCTGTGATCGGGAAGGCGAGCGCATGGACGGAGCACTGCTGTGCCGACTCAGGCCAGGCACCGCCGACTCGGTATGCGTTTCTGGAACAGCCTCCAGATCTTCGGGGACGCCGTATATCCAGACATCCTTGCCTTCAAACCCGGCAGAGACAATATCACCACAATTGGTGGCCGCAGGTAAGGTGCAAGGTAAAAATGTACTGTGAGCAGCTGTTCTCGAGGTTGGAGCCGGTCCAGTAAAGTACGTTGTTCCATTCCGGAGATCGTCGATGCGGACGGCACGGAAGGTCTCGAAACTGCGGTCGTAGGTAAAAGTCCAGCTTGCTTCCTGAGAGCCCGACTCTTGCAGCAACGTAGCATGGCTGCAGTCACGACTAGTGTTTGGAAATAAGATGGAGGTGGTCCACAATGCACTGATGTTGTCTTCCGCCATTTGGGCGCCGGGATCATAGTACGGCGCGGTGAGGATGACAGTATTTGACTGGTGTGCAGAGGTTGTCGTGCCCAAAAGCTGTGTGCCATCTGATGAGAAAGCCAGATAGTCCACAGCGTCGCATTTGACGGCTCTCCGGTCTGTAGACATAGCACCGGTGCCAAGAGATGATACTTCGATACCCCCCTCATATGCAGCCGCCAGTACACTTCCGCAAGGCGACAGCGCTATAGTTCGAGGGGAATGATCCAATATCAAAGATTGCGTGCGCCTCGGGGGATGTTCTCGGAGGTCGTAGATATCGACCTGCATATCAGAGGACAATACAGCGAGAACGGTGCCGTCGTCTAGAATACATGTAGAAACTGGGCGGCGCAAAATTTTGAGTTCGCGCCGCACTTCCAGATCAGATCCTCTCAAGTCCAGCACATAGATTCGAGACGAATTGTAGGCAAGGACATGATGACCCCGAGGCGAAGAGCTGAACTGCATACCCTCGCCGCCAGGGGCAGAGGAAGAGCTGATCGAGTTGGATACCAGCTTTATCGTCGTCGTTTTCGGGCGCAAGTAGACCTCAAATAAGTTGCGCTTGATCTCTCGCGAGAAGAGACGTCGCAAGCGCGGCAGATCCTCATCCTTGACAGAAGCAGGCGGCGAAGCGCTATGGCTCGCCGCATACGAAGGACAATGCGAAAGTTGGTGGGCGTAAAGATGTGCTTGCTGAGAGACCCGCCGCCATTTTGTGTTCAGGAGCACTGCTGAGGCGAATGAGTTTGGTTCGGTCAGTTGAAGTATCCTGTTGTTGCAAAAGACATGTCAGTTGAAGCGCGCGGTATCAGACTTGCTCTGTGCCAGGACATACTGCTGAATGATCTCCTCGGGCAATCTCTCAAAGGCAGACGAGACGCCAGAGCTGGTGGCCGCCATACTCTCGGGTTCCCTCTCAGCCTCGAAAGAGGAGCCGGCGTCCATGTCGTCGTGCGCCTTTTCTCGATGTATTTTTGGACGATTACAGGCAATAGTATTTCTCGAGCCTGTACGGAAGCTGGAGTCAGAGATTCGTAGAGAGAAGTGCCATTATGTTTGGGGCTGCATGTATGTATGTAAGTCGTGTCGCTGAGGCAAACGGGCCGGGCGTGGCAGGGCTGATCTAGATTCGCAACAGATTTACATTAGGGGTCTCGCTGCGCTACGCGCTCGCTGCAGTCCCTCGGGCTCGGCGCTGTGTTGTTGTGGCTCGTTGTCTCACAGCTGTCAATTTCGGCGCAGGCAGATGCGCTGTTCCCTTGTTGTTTTTGTCGGCAAATAAGGGAAGTAACAAAGACCACGGGAGACCTCATGCAACCTACGCGGCAAGTCGAGAGAGTAAGACAACGACTTTCAGCAGCACGGAACTTGGTAACCTTTTTGAGGCGGAGCACTCCAAATCCATGCATCGGGTTGAGTGCTACCTAAAATGTACCTAAGCCTAGCAAGTCTAGGTACCAATCTCAGCGCTCGCTGGTCAGCCGTCAACGATCCAATTGAAGGGCCTAGCAAGGAGGCCGGCGACAAATAGCAAGCCTATAGCGCGGGGGATTTGGCCCGAATGGCGGGATTGGATGGCATGGCTGAAAAGCTGTGGTACAAAGTGAACGTGCACGACCCCCTCAACTAATGTACCTAAAAATGACAGACTTGTGATATTGATGTTTTGTTGGTGCCTCTATCTCGTGGCTGATTTACATGCCTTCTTCGCACATTCTACCTAATTCAGAGAATGTGAATTGATGCAGATGTACAGTTATCGAAACAAAGTCCAATCGATGGCCCGCAGTTGGGGATGGACCCCGGCGTTTACCATCTGCCATGCGAGCCATGCTTGAGGTGATGTATTGTTCTGGGGCCGTTTCAACGTCCCGCACGACGATCAATGGGTACGTCAACAGCCACTAAGAAGCGTCTGTGATTTGCGCCACGGTCGATTCACTGTGACTATTCATCTAAGTTCTGCACTGCAGGAAGGAATACAGGGGACGGCATGTACGGAGGTAAACGCCCAAGATATCTCGATACTACGTTGAACATGCATCGGTATTTACTATGTTGGTTCTCAAAGCGCCCGAGCGAGGCACGGGGGCGTTGAAACGACAAGAAAATCAACCCGAATCAAAGCACCAGTCCAAGTTTTCTTGGTTGGGCACTTTCTCCAACATGTTTTTTTTGCAGAGTTCAATTCAAGCAGGAACGGAATATCTATGTTGCCCTACATATATGAGCTCCCGCATCCAGTGTATAAAGGTTGAGGGTCCTTGACAAAAGCCAGAAACAACTTCTCTGCATATCTACGTGCATAATGCAGAGTAACAAGATTTCACTCCGGCAAGCAATTGGCCGTTGGTTCGCAAATACCCTGGACTTATTGCACCAAAGGAACATTTGACTGCTACGGGTTTTAAGTCGTATAGATGCAATAACAAGTGTTCATTCTGACGTCTTTAAAGACATCAATACCACCTGGGGTGTTCCTTTGTCCACATGCGCCCCTTGAAGATTCGAGTCCAATGTTGAACAGAATATAGCCCAGAGAAACAAGCATGATACTTATAAATATCAAGACCCATCCGGCAACACGTATTGCTGTTGCGTGTATACAGCCACGAGACGAATCTCGGAGCCTGGGAGCGGGCTACAAACCATGAGCCTTGTCGGCAGCGAGTTCATCAGTTTGTTGAGTTACGAGAATGACCAGGATGCAAGATACCCACCCGTTCCTCTTGCAAACTGCCCTGTCCACACTAGTCCACGGGTCCCTGGTTTATACTCGATAGTAGCCCGTCTACTATTCCGTACATTATGCCTGCTCATACCTTGAGCATATCAACATTGTAGAGATTGATATTCACTAATAAGCAGGTGCCTGTTGGGAGTTCGGGTAACGGATAGGGGGCCGGCCGCATAGGATCGGTTCCTGTACAGATTACACACAGCATTGGCGGCCGAGAGCAAGAGGGGGAGAAAAAGCGGCTAACATATGATCACTTTCTGATGATTCTATTTTTGGTTCGACAGCTCGGTGCGGGGCAGGCTAAGGTAGAGCAACCCCAGGTACAGCGTATCTACGTATCTACCTCCTTCAATCGGAATTCGTATCTTTACTCTTTTTTCGACACGTAATCTCCGGCTGAGAAATTTTGTCTTGTCTTTTTTGCCTCGTCAGCAATTTATCGCACTCGTTCTTTTTTTTTTTTCCGCCTCCACGCTGTGGCGGCACCTGATATGTTGGTGGTCATTGCCTTCATGTGAACTAATGTTCATGCATGCATGTGAACCCGCTATTGTCCCTTGTATGACCCCCCGGTGCTCCTTCATAAATGTCGATCATCGATCGTGCTTCGTATGTCCTGAAGGATTTTGGGGGATAAATTGCCAATGCCTGCCTGGATGTCACGCAGTATTACCCAACTACATATTCCGTATCTCACCTGCATCCTTTTTCTAATTCTTGCAACTCCGACTGACGAATATCAAGTGTCGGTGAATGATAGATCAAAATGGCTCGAGACTCTCTATGAATGTGATTGACAGAAATTGGGAAAGAACGGACTCATCGGCCATGGCAAAGCACCTGGCAATGAACAGTACTTACATAACTGCTGCAATGCCCGGCGCGACCGGCATATGGTGGACCAAAATGTGCAACCCGATTGACCTGACTGGTTACTGGCATTGATATCCGCGGGGTCTAGCGCCAAGAGCTGGCCAGATACAGTATAAGCATAAAGCCTTCTCGCAACAGGCTCTCTTTCTATCTCCTTCTATGATGTCAATCTAGTCTAAAGAAAGTCATCCATTTCCCAAGCTCAAATTATGGTCAAAGTATTGGAAAACATGTCTTCTGCATTGGACCTTGCAAGCTGCAGTGATAACACAGTCGTTGAGCCCAAAGTTGCATCGACCTCCGGCGATTTGGATGAACCTTTCCAATATCGTAACCTGCTCCATGCTTCGCTTGGTAGGCATTTGCACGGAATCATACCGTGTACTACAACAGTTCCAATCTCTTGTGTTGATCCCAAATAAGCACTCAAAGGCAGGTAGGCCTTGACTGACCGACTGGATTTCGTCTCACCGACTCTTGCTTCAGACTGCGACTTCCAGATTGGTTTGTAGCACGTCCAGTACGTACAAAAAGTAGTTCATGTCTCATTCATCGCTTACTCATCGTCTGTCCCCGTGCTCAGGAACATCTTGTGATTAAACTTTTTTTTTGGCTGCCATCATCTAGGTCTCGGGGCTGGAGCTTGGCTTGATTGTGCCTATCGCCGAAAACCCACCGTACGGCACCGAACCTCGTCCCAGAACGTTGGCTCGTTGCCATCTTGAAATCTGGTCTGTCGTTCATCGAACAATTCCCATCAGGCCATCAACTTGAAGATGCCCGTCCCAAACTGCGCCACCATGAGCGTCTCCAAGAGGGAGAACTCCGGGTACTTGCCCATCGAGAACTACGGCATGATCGGCAATATGCGCACATGTGCTCTCGTCAGTATGGACGGAAGTGTTGGTATGTGAAAGATGTTCTGTGTTTCAAAGGGAAATCTACTGATGGTTGTACGCACTAGATTTCATGTGCTGGTAAGCCTGTGCCTGTGGAAACGGGAAGCCCGGATGGCGATACAAACTGCCCATATCCACCCATCTTGTTGCACTCTATTGCCTGGATGAAATTGAATTTGATCTTTGATGCGGCTTCAGCTCTATGGAGGTTGACGTACCTACTTCATAGGCCGGACTTTGACTCACCTTCGATTTTCTGCCGTCTTCTTGACAAGGACAAGGGTGGATATTTCAACATCTCTCCTCCCAATGTTGCCTCGTGCACCACAAAGCAGCAATATCTTCCGTCTTCAGCTATCCTGCAGACCAGATATATTCACGAGGATGGAGTCGTGGACCTTGTAGATTTCTTTCCTCGTCCCAGAACAACAAGCATCTTGACGCCTGGCTACAAGCACAATGCCTACCGAGAGACACGCACCGTTCAGGAAGAGTTGAAGAAGTGGCTCGTGAGACGTGTGGAGTGCATTCGTGGCGAGCTTGACCTTGGTGTGACATTTTCCCAGTGGCATCTTGTTCTGAGCAGAACTAACTTCTTGTAGATGTCGACATCTTTCCCGCCTTCGGATATGGAAGGGACTCTCATACCACCAATGTCCTACAAGCTGTTCACAGCTCTCTCGATTCCGTGAGCAAGACGGTGACTTTCCATAGCCCGCATGAAAAGCTCCAGCTGGACGTGGTCATTGACCGTGGATCGGCCGACAGCACAAGCTGTCCCTCAGTCATCTTTAAGAAGGAGAGGAGGGACGGCATGCTGGGCGATGGTGTTACCGCCAAACTTCGTCTCACCGAGGGTCAGGGTGTATCATTCATCCTTCGCGCCGACTCTGACGACCACGTTACCGAAAACATCACCACTCCAATCGTTGACAAACACCAGAATGACACACAGACGTTCTGGTTCAACTGGCTGGCCAAGAGCAAATATCGTGGTGGCTGGCGCGAGATTGTCTCTCGAAGTCTCATGATCCTGAAGATGCTTACGTACGAGCCCACTGGTGCAATTGTGGCAGCTCCCACATTCTCGATACCTGAAGATGTAGGAGGGGTGAGGTATGAAGTTGCCGCCAACTATCTCTACTTCTCGAGAACTGACTGAGCATGAGCAGAAACTGGGACTATCGATTCTCTTGGGTCCGAGACAGCAGCTTCACCATTTACATCCTCCTCCGCATGGGGTTCACCGAAGAAGCTGATGCTTACATGGAATTCATTAGTGAAAGGTTCCAGAAGTCTACCACTGAAGACGGCGGGCTCCCCATCATGTTCACCATCAGAGGTGAGACGGACATTCCTGAGCAAGAACTTGACCATTTGGAGGGGTACAAGGGCAGCAGGCCGGTCCGCATCGGCAACGGGGCAGCATTTCACCAGCAGTTTGATATCTACGGCGAGCTGATGGATGGCATCTATCTCTACAACAAGTACGGAAAGCCCATTTCCTGGGATACATGGGTTTCTATTCGCAAGATGCTTGGTGAGCCTGATCTGTCGAAAGTCTTCCTGTTTGACATGATACTGATCTTCTTGTAGACTACGTTCTCACCCTTCTCGATCGTGAGTATACTTGACATTGACCCGAACAACTCTCGCTGACTGCCGCCAACAGAGCCGGACATGAGCATTTGGGAAGTCCGAAATAACAAACAGCACTTTGTCTACTCCAAGGTCATGCTCTGGGTAGCCTTTGACCGTGGTCTCCGACTTGCAGACAAGCGATGCCTCCCCTGTCCCAACAGGGTCAAGTGGCTGGAAGCCCGAGACAGGCTGTACGAGGAGGTCATGGAGAAGGGCTACAACGAAGAGATGGGCTGCTTTGTCCAGAGCTACGAGAACAACACCATGCTCGACTCGTCCATTCTCATTGCTCCCCTCGTCTTCTTCATCGCACCCAACGATCCCAGGTTCCTCAGGACCATGGATCGCATCCTGATGCCGCCAGAGAAGGGCGGTCTCACGAGTACGGGTCTCGTGTATCGTTACGATACCGAGCTTTCCGAGGATGGTACGTGAAACCCTTGCGAGTCTTTTCTGTATAGGATTCACTAGTGACAACATACTAACCAACTCCTGTGCTCACACAGGTGTAGGCGGTCGCGAGGGCGCCTTCTCCATGTGTACTTTCTGGCTGGTCGAGGCCATGACACGCGCTAGCATCTACGAGCCCAAGTACCTGGCCAGAGCCATCAACATTTTTGAAAACATGTTGAGCTTCTCCAACCACCTGGCCATGTTCTCCGAGGAGATTGCCAGGTCGGGCGAGCAGCTCGGCAACACGCCCCAAGCCTTTAGCCATCTCGCTCTCATTAGCGCGGCCTTCAATCTTGACCGTGCCCGAGAGCACAAGAGGTCAGTGTCCTAAGAAGTTGAAGATTGCCCCTTTTTGTTTTCTTTTCTTCTGTTCTTCTCTTGTCAACCACAGAAAATAACAGATGGGGGAGGACTGTCAATGTTCGGTCTTCATTGTAGAGAGCCCGTCAACTTACACGCTCGTGTGTTAGCGTCGATATGAGCTACGACAAGTGATGCGCCATTCATGGCTTGGGGGCGATTTATGAAGAAGCATTATGCTCTTCTTTTCTTGTCTTTGGAGCTCTTTCCACCGTCGTTTTTACTGAAACCAGTATCATTGCAGTAACCAGGCAGACATTGGGGTACATTATCACAATTCTTGCTCTCAATGTATTTATATACTTTGCTCACTCGATAGCATTTTTCACAATAAACTTGTGCGAGATCTTGGCAAAGTTGAGTGTGCACAATATACAGGCATAAAACACCTATGTATGAACATTGTCCGCTTGACAAGGTATGCAAGTAGTACGATAGATACACCAAGTAACATATGTAGCAAAGGTCCTGACTTTTGTTCTTTTTTCTTTCTTCTTCATATTGCGCCCCTTGAACCGTGCCCAGGAGAAAAACAAGGCACAACGCCGGAACCGTCCTGATGCTATAGGATATATACCCAAAAAGAAATCATCTACCCTGTAAAGCCCAAATGCAGCCAATTCGCCCATAAGTTTTCAAAAAAAAAGAAACCCCCCCCCCCCTAACGGCCCTGTCTCGGTGAGTTTCCCTAGATGGCAAGCTCCTATAACTCCGCGACGCCCTCTCTGCCATTGCCGGCAATCAGCTCCGTCATGTCCCGCATCCGGTAATCGAGAATGGGCGTAATCCAGTCGTCCTCGACCAAGGAATACGTCTCGAGGGTATTCTCCTTGGGCTTGCGCGGGTTGACGGCCCAGTAGCCGAAATCGGCATCAATGGACTTGAGGTAGCGCAGCAGGTTGGTCCAGTAGTTGGCGTCGCCCTGGCTGGGGTGGTGCGGCGCGCCAAACTCGCCGACCCAGACGGGCGCCCGGTCGTCCTCGACCAGGTAGCCCCAGTTGCGGCGCATGGCGGCGACAAAGCTCGCGTAGCCGCGCTTCGAGTATCGGCCCTCGGAGCTGCCCCAGCCCGACCAGGCGTACACGTGCGCCGAGTAGACGACGCGGTCGGGCACGTCGAGCTGGACGGGGCGGTCGGCGGCGCCCCGCAGGTCATTGCCCGACTCGGTGCCGCCCACGATGATGAGCCAGTCCCTTTTCATCTTGAGGAGCCGGTTTCCACACTTCTCGGCCGCCGTGGCCCACTTGTCCCAGGGCATGGTCCCCCAGACGCCGCGGACTTCGTTGCGCAGGTCTGCGCCGATTACGTAGGGGTTGTCAACGAAGCGGGCCATGACAGACTCCCAGTGCTGGATCCAGTCCTCCTCGCTCTGGGTGACGCGACAGAGGGGGCCCAGGTGGTCATTGGCCCAGCCGGCGTCGCAGGGGTCGGCGCCACAGCACCAGGTGGCGGTGGTGATGTGGTTATTGACAATGACGGCGACGCCGGCTTCGGTGAGGGCATCGACGCAGGCCTGGAGCACGTCGAGGGCGCGCAGACCGACCAGATCCGGATTGGCCGTGACGAGGTGCGGCAGGACGTGGGGGTTGACCATGACCATCTCGTCCGAGTAGGGGAGGCGCACGCTATTGAAGCCGAGGCGACGAATGGTCTGGGCAATGACGGAGCGGTGCTGGACGTCGAGGCCGCCGGGGATAAAGAGCTCGTCGCTGGCGCCGTACCAGTTGACCGAGGCCAGCTTGAAGCGGCGGCCGTCCCGGTCGACCACGTCGCGGCCCTGCGCCGACAGCGGCAGCGCATATGTCGAGATGCTGTTCTGCTCGATCGGCTCGGGAAGGGCTCGCTGCGCAAAGAGCTGGGCGCCGGCGTCGGGTTCCCACGGCGTGTTGAGCGCCGCCTCGGCCCTCCACAGGTGGTGGAGATAGCCCCCGAGGACAAGCATGCCGAGGAGGATGAGCATGACTGCGACGATTGTGGAGGGAAAGAGAGATATAGCAGATGGCTTCCAGCCCGGATGTATAAAGGACAAGCCTATGTAGATAAGTAGCAGATAATGGTCAAAGTGGGCTGCACTCGATAAGGCTACTGGAGCTGAGAGTAGAGAGAGAGAGAGAGAGAGGGCAATGCTTGAGCGACGATCTTGGGATCTATCACCGGTCTACGGTGATGCAAATATAATTTACTATAGATCGCCTGGATGTAATGAAGCGGATGGAGTCGAGAATAGTGCGATTCGTCCCATTGTTATCTCGACGGTTGAAAGAGAAAAGAAAAGCAAGGGAATCGAGTTTACTCGTAATGGAGGCTGATGGAGTCAGCAGCAAGCACAAGCTGGGACGACTAACTGCGCACTGCGAGATCTACACTAAGGTGTACGTACGCATCCATAGCTTGAGAGAGGGGAGTCTGAGTGACGGCATTAGGATTGGTGACGTTGATTCCGGGACCCCCCCAAAAGCAACTACCAGGTACCGCACATGGAGGTAGGTAGGGGACCGACCTTAGCATCCCCCGCCCACATACGCTAGGCCCCTCTCTTTTACCTCTAGGATTTTGCGGGGGCTGAGCGAGCCCAGAAGCCATCCACGGCTGCTGCAGTTATCTGTTATCTGTGCAGTGAAATATAATTGCTGATCAAGCCATCTTCAATACAAATACCGTTTGAACCAAAAACACGGGCGTCTTTTGGAAAGATTTTCAGTAAACTAGACCAAACTCTCACTTTTTCCCCCCTCCCCCAAAAACCTTGGGGGATATTTTCTTGTTGGAAAAAAAAGGTAGTCAAGCAGAGGTACATAGGTAGTTTTTCAGCTTGTTCTTCCGCCACTTTCTCGGTCAGCGCATCGTGAGAAAAAGTCATGGAGGGGCCAATAAGCGAGTCATTCAAGACTCGACCCGCGTTTCGTCCCATACCCACAACGAAAAATAGTGCCCGGCCCAAGTGCCGTAATATATCTGAGACAACTATGATTGGGAAGAGATCGCACATATGTTTTGGCGGGTGATGAATTTTTACGGAACTGCTGTGCCATTACCTATGTCAAGATCGCTAACTAACACTTATATACAAGACGCAAATGATTTATGCTAATTCGCACCAGCCAATTCCCATCTAAACTCTTTCATGAGTTTTAGGGCTTGGCTTCTCTTCGCCACGACGTGATTCTGGGGGTCGCCAGGCTTACAGCCAATACTGCCGCCTAAAGCAAGCTTAGCCAACACGAATCAGTCATCGCCAATCAGTCCAGCGACCCTACCCATGGTTACCAAGGGGATATCAAGAGGGCAGCTAATAGTTTCAACCAAAAAAAGACAGTGGTATATGGTCGGATGTCTTTCATGCTACGTGCCAGTAGCATCCATCTTCATTTTGTTTTCCTGATGTGAGGTAACATCCTATTCCGCCATCCGTCAAGCAATATTGATATCCCATGCGCCGCGCTGACCTATAATCATGACCGTCCAATATCCTTGGATCGGCATTTATGTGATGTGACTCTGTACATAGAATAAACATGACGGTCGTATCGACTCGTCAAGAAGTATGACACAGGGAAGAATATGCACGTGGGTGCAGGGTTCTGGATGTCGAGATGATAAATGATGCGATGAAATCGTCTTCTGTTGGACAATTTCTCTCTTTGGGTATCTTTGTTGGTGGCTCATATCTTGTTCATGCCTAGAGGATTCATGCCTTGGTACTCGGTACCGTCCGCCATTCGTCGAGGGTATGTTGCATTGGGCATTGGAGACTCATAGGGCAAAGGTGATGGCGATTGTGCTTCCCAAGAAACTTGCTGGGGTGGGCGGGGCGCGGAAAACGATCGCGAGTGCGGTTGATATCGTGTCGCTTGAGGCCCAAAGTAATCGGGAGTCTGGCGCCCGCTTCGAGAAGGACTCATGGGAGATTTGGCAGGGCTAATCGGCGTTAGTATGGATTCCGCTTTTCCGGAGTCGCGAGACAACATTTCATAAGACCTTGGGTCTTTCTTCAAATCCATTCGTGCATCCACCGAGACAAACTCCTTCTTGGTCCGATTTTCTGCAAAGGATTGGAAAAAGTCTTTCCATCCCGTCACCATGGACGAGCGACCAAGAAGAAGAACCAGCCACAAGCCGTTCATCTTGAGCTATGTCAGTAGACCCTTTTCCCATGACAGAATGAAACTTACTGCTAGAAGAATCAGCACAGCAATGACTGTCGGCAGGCGGACAACAATGTCGTTAGCATATTTGAGGCACTTGTTCTTGTCGCCAACGGATTGGATCAGACAAAATGCCCAAGTCTGGATGGCGTCGCTGTTGGGGTCATCCTTGACAGCCTGGACCGTATTGTCCAAGAAAACAAAGGTAATGGCGAAAAATACAACGTCGGCGCAAATGATGAGCACAATGACAATGCCACGCCACTGCAGAGCAATCACTCGTCGAACTCGTCGGTAGGCTTGGCGGGGGCTCATGGTCCGGATACTGCTCGAGTATGCAGCAAGACCCGAACCCTCGGTGGAAGCGGCATTGTCCGCCAAGGAAGCCAGGTAGACCTTGATGCAGTAGCCGAATGTTGCAAACTGAATGATGACCGTGAGGCCGACAAAGACCAGCAAGGGGATCCAGAAGTCGGCCAAGCTGTTCGTGTGGTTGATGTGGCACGTCTGACCAAAACGGAAAGAAACTCCGCTAAAGACGAGCAAAACGACCAACCCAACGACTGGAATACCCCAGCCAAAGGCCTGAGATAACCACATGAAGTTACGTCCCACCACCATTTGCCAGCAGATCTGTAGGTGTAGAGAAAGAGCACGAAGGAAGATCCACATGACGCCGCCCCATCCACCAATCAGTAGGAACGAACCCGAGACGGCGCATACTGAACTCGATGCCATTCCATTAGGTGTGATCTCATCAAAGCACTGATCCGGGTGAGCGGCAAGGGGTACAATGAATCCAAGCTTCATGATAAGCTGTTAGCTCTGAGCTGAAGTCGATGCACTTTAGGCTGACTTACGTTCATCAAGACAACAGCACAGGTCAAGCTGATGCTCAGATAGTGGCGATGAGTTTTTTCCACGGGCAAACAGATCCAGGAGATCAGAAGGAAGAGACAGCATATCATGCCCACGACATTGATCCAGCTAGCTACCGAGGTCAACTGGTTGAAGTTGTCTGGGTATGTCCAGTCTGTCATAGGGCAAGGAAGACAGCAGGAAAGAGATTCGGCCGAGTTTGGCGGGTATGGTTGACATAGTCGACCATCGATGTCTAATCATGTCAGCAATGTGTATACGATATGCTTTGGAACAATAGAACATACATCCACCATCTGTGAAGCTCAACTCGGAAAAGAAAGGTGCGGGGCAGCCGCCTCGCAAAGCAGTCAGGTTAGCCATGTTGGCGAAGGAAAGAGGCAGACTGAATGTCAAAAGAGAAAATAATTATTAAAGAATCTTGAGAGAGTGAGGTTGCTCCAGTAAATAGATGAATATGCTTTCGGCAAGTTGAGAAACCGGGTCCGCCGAGCAGATATACCGGACGAGTTTCAACCGCAGACGATGGACGGGCGAACCAGAAGTTCAGTTGGATCGTTTACACCGCGCAGCTGAATCTGCGAAACGGTGGTGCTTGGTGTATCCGAGGAATGATCTGTGATCAAAAGGTTTCAAAATAGAAGTAGTTTCTGGTGAGATGTTCCAAGGTGACCGACCACCACGAGTGGCTTGCCCGACACCACCTTCACAAAAAAACACACACACACACACACGCACACACTCTCTTTGGCCGTGGGGGTGCTGTCGTACACTGGAAGGCTGGATATTCGTAGCAGAAGGGTTAGTAAAGGAGTGAAGGCTAGGAAGTATTCATGGCTTTGGAGACGATGCTGATGAGGCACTTCTCATACAGGAGAAATCAAAGCATGAATTCCAGTCGGAGCCAAATCACTAAAAGGAAGAGCACACGCGATCTCGCCAGAGGTGGAGGGTGGGCGGGCACATAGATAATAAAAGGTGCGCGCGCCGATACTCTGGGGATGACCAAATGTGTCGATACTTTGGTGACCAGGCGGCCAAGCCATGCCGCGGTGCTATCCATACCTACCTTACGTACCATGCCAATGTCCATCCATCCAACTAAAGAACCAACCAACCCTTCCATCTGCCTGTCAGTCCACCCACGCGCGAGAATAGACGACCGGGGGTGGGTGGGCTGCAGGCAATTTTCTCTTCCCTCTTGCTCTTGTTGCTCTAGTGGTAGTGTACATTAAATTCAGCACAGGGACTCGGCGAGGATAACTCCACAGGCGAGCCATTCAGGTTCAGGACCAGCGGGTCTCCTCTCTTTGTGGGAGAGAAGACCATAACATGTCTGCCGGGGGGTGGTCCATTCAGAGGGGGCGATGGAGACTGGATCGTTTTTTTTTTTTTTTTTCTTCGCGTCCCCCGTCGATGGGTTAAAGTGAGTGTGGCATGGGCCCCTTGTACATCCATAGTGTAGAAGCCCCGGCGCGAGGCAGGTCCCAACGGAGGCCAGTTAAACCCCCCCAGTGCACCTGCTCGGGGTTCATGTAGCCAAGCCAAAGCCGCAGAGGGGGAGAGGGTGTTGAAAGCCGGGATTCGTGCATTAGTAAATTGTGCTGCTTACCCTGCTGGGCTTGGCCATGTTCTGGCCGGGAGAGGCTGCTCGTCATTCGCCAGGGCAGAGAGTAGCAGAGTGCTTTACTGTGTCAGGTCAGAGTGACAGGACTGGAGAATGGGCAGACGAAAAAGGACAGCAGCCAGCATACATTGAGAGCTGCTGCTGCTGCTGCTGTTACCTTGGCGATACTAGTACGTAGTGGATAGTAGCACGTGCATACGAAAGAAGGTACATACTGTGTTACCACGTAGACGACGGCAACAAACGACGACCATGACGCCCAGAGCCTCCAATGATCGATTCCCATCCCCCCCCCCCAGGTCCCAATCAACGGACTGAATAGAAAAATGGTCTGACAGCTTCTCGAGAGCCGGGGATCGCGGTCGGTTCCGCAAGACAGACTTACACAGGTGTAGTGATTTAGTCCTGACTAAAAAGTCTCGTCAGGGGTCCTGGGCATTTAGCACGATTTTCTCTACTAGTCTATCTAGCACAATCGTATCTTTGGTCTCAAATTGAATGGCGCTGGGATGGTGCCTGGTGACCCGAAAGGTCCCCGAGCGGATCTCTGTGGACTCTTGACTTGCAATACTATTTAGGTACATGCTCACTGTAGGTTTCGTTAGGAATTCTGGACTTTGCTGACTCGGGGCTAGCGCGTGTATAGTGGGAACGCACCAATGTCGGTCGAGCCCATCGTCTGGACCGGCAGTTTTGAGTGACGGACGAGCTGGAATGGAATGCAAGAAGAAGTGAAAGAGGAGAGGAAGAGCAGCGCGTTTCGCATGGTCGATTGAGGAATAGCGACAGCGTTGGTGGGAAAAATTTCTATGGGATTGATCTCATTATTATTACACTACGACATTGACTCCCTTGGACTACTACCTCATACACTACACTAGTCCTGTTGTTGTGAGGTAGGTAGATCTTACCCTCGGATTGTAAATTGAGTTTTCGACTAGAAAGGGCATGATGAGCATAGAACCATACTGTCACCTAGTAACTCGCTTCCCTAGGAACGCCGTTGCATTATTGAGCTGACAGCATTCGGTATTTAACCGTCCGTAGCTTGATTGGTCCACTGTTGGCAAGGCGGCTCTCATTATTCGGAATCGAAGCTTGACAATTATTTACTGTATCACTCGTGATTGTTCGACTAGGAGGCTTCAATGTTCTCTTTGGTCCCTGATGAACTATGGAGCTGCGACTCAAACGAACAGACAAGTATATCGTACAAACGTCCTTCTTACACTAACTTCTTCATATGAATGCACAACGGAACAGGATAGTTAGCTTTCCTGAGGCAAGCTTTGTTTGTGTTGCTACAATTGAGGGCCCAACTTTGCGCTTCGGCACTACGGCATTCAGAACTCGACCCATTGGGGTAATAAAGCATTGATCATCGAACTACCCCGGTGAATTGTGGGTAAACGATCGTTACCGTATCTGATACCGCACAGAATTGTTCAGAGCGCATTGCCACATTGCAGAACGATAAATCATAGTATAGCGATATGATGAGACGAGTAAAAAGCAATTTGTATTATAGCATGTCGTGCTGTGAGACATAGCTATATCACACGCCCGCTAATTTAAATGTAATCTGACTTATTATACAATACATGGTGACGACACCAACCGCTCATGTTCAAGCTCTGGATTCATGTATCCGTTTTCACTCTCTTGTGTTCTGGGCATATCAATGTCGTGTGTGCGGCAATAATAGAGATAATCGATACTGAGGAACGTCGAGTTTCATAAGACACGGACAATAAACATATATTCCGTCGCTATTGTAAAAGTAAGTCCATCTTCACAAGTCTGCTAGGTTACATGGCCTCGTCACATCCCGATGTGGACCAGACCCCCTCCACCAAGTAGGCAACTCTGCCCTGAGACTAAAAGCACTGGCATGTACCATCTTAGCGTACCTGATGAGCTAAGATAGCTCTGTAGGTGAGTATGGCTCGGAGCTCCCATGGTAGATTCCTTCAGATTTCATGATGATGTTTCGAAGCATAATAACAACAGTCATCCCCGGTCAGTTGATCGTATGGACACGTCTGGTTGTGGCAGACATGGTCAGTTCAATCTCTCCCAGGGAAAACAGCACGTCTTGTCTCAGCCCTGCCGACCCCATGCGGGAAGAACACTGTCCACCCACAGGCAAGTACGTACCCGCTTGATCACACAATGTGGAAAGTACAAGGGCAGGGCGTGTAGGGCATGTCCTGCCCCCCAGCCTGTGGGTAGCGAAACCCATCACATCGCCATTGCATCGCTGCCCAAACAGTTACCAGCGATCTGGACGACTAGTGTAGCAGACACCGGGGGGGAGAAAGCTGGGTGACATGCGCTTGGAAGCAGCTGTGTCAGTCTACGGCTACCGACATTAAAAGAGAGAAAAAGTTAGAGAAATAAAACACGTTCTTCCCACGATCGATCCGCCTTTTTTTCTGCCAGATGAGATCTAAGACAACTTATCCGTAAAAAGAAAGGAAAGGGAAAGCCACAAAATATTCTTTGGCTGCTTGGCAGGTTATTGGTGTAAATTGCAATTGCATACGCTACGTTTAGAATCGGGAACCAACCCGAAGCGCAGAAACGGCGCGCCACGACGACAGTCGGTAGCCTCTCAGCATCCAGTTCTGGCCCGTCGGATTCTCACTGGTCCCAGGGGATCGTCTATTTCACACCATACAGAAGCGTCAAGATTGCTTTTTGCCTTCAACATTGCCAGATAATCAATATTCATCGGGTCATCACAACGGGATGAGGTCATAGCAGACAGAAGATGGATCCTTCACCTTTGGTCGATTCCGATCCGATGACAGGCTGCCAAAGTGTCTACCGGGTAGTTTGAAGCTGAAAGCGAAGCCCCTATTCTGTGCATCGGTATTTGCTAAAGAGATTTACATAGAGGTATGGTATTTACGTTTACCCGCAGATTCCCAAGTCATGCTAAAGCGGTACGTACATGACTTTACATACCATGCCTACGTACCTGACCTACAGAGTACTTCAGGTACATTTACCAGCTGTATGGTTGCGCTTAGCGAGTCCTCCCTTGGCTAAAACGGACTGTGTAGCTTTTCAGCCATCTAGGTTAGTTGTGATCCGGACAGTGGTCACTTATACTGTGTCAAACAGTTGGGCCTGCCAAGATGTTGAGAATTCGAGGTACCAAAGCAGCGGCAACTTGCTACCTACCTGTAAGGCTGTTGTCTGTCTGTCTGTCTGCCTGCCTGGTACCTTTCCCCGGGGAATGCATAAATGAATGCGATCAGACACAACGCCATTTCCGGACTACCTAGACTTGTGGCTGCTTGGTGTGGGAGAAATGAACCTGAGCTACAGCTCAGTCATGACCTACTGTACCGTACACTAGAGTACGACGGTACGAGACTACATACGACTCCGACGTGTGATGCCATCTGTGCATTTGACTGGTGAAACCCTCGGCGCGCTGCTCGAAGGTGACAGCCGGACGCTTCCTTTTCGATGCGTGTCCCACTTCCCGCCCCTCCACGAGCAGAGCACTGTCGAGAGTCGTCCAAGCGCTGGACTCGTCATCAAGTCCAAGTGGACTGAGTATTACGCCGGCCACGAGGCTTGCGGTTCTCGAAACCCTCCCAGACTTATCATTACCAAGAAGATGATAAAGAAAGATGCAGCATTACTATCCGTCCGATAGGCATGCGCTGAGCTGTCTTTTAGCCACGTTCTCCGAGTCATGCCTCTAGAGCCTGGATGAGCC